TTATGTCACCAATGACTTGCTCGGATGGATGGTCTTTCTGAACCCTTAAGGGAGGATCACGCCTAAGTGACACAGAACCTTCTTGAGCCGCAGGGACAATGTAGTCAGTTGGTGTCTCAGCATCCCCAACCGAAGGTTCAGCTATCTCGTTGTCCGCAGAACTCTTAACACCATGTGTATCCTGCAATCCCTCAACAGTTTCAAACTGATTAAAAGATACAGAAGAACTACCTTGAGAATTTTTTTCATCAAAGGTTACGTTTATGGACTCAATCACAGTGGAGGTACTTGTGTTGTAAACACAATACGCTCGACTATTGTTAGAGTAACCAAGAAAGAATCCAATATCCGATTTTGCATCGAACTTCCCAAGTTGTACACGATCATTATAGATAAAACATTTACACCCAAAAATATGCAAGTGGCTGAGGTTAGGACTCTTACCTTTCCAGAGTTCATATGAAGTCAGACCAATACCTCGACGAAGGTACACTCGATTCACGAGGTAGCATGCTGTATTGACAGCCTCAGCCCACCATCTAGAAGAGATGTTTTTGGAGTTCAACATGACTCTGGACATTTCTTGGAGAGTACGATTTTTCCTTTCAACAACTCAATTTTGCTGTGGAGTTTTAGGAGCTGAGAACTCGTGACTAATACCCAGAGAATCACAAAATTCCGCAAACTCAGAATTTTCAAATTCTCTTCCGTGATCACTTCGAATACTTATTATGGGAAAGCCTTTTTTAGTTTGAACCTTCAAACAAAGTGACTTAAAGGCAGAGAAAGTGTCAGACTTTTCACGCATTTTAAAAATCAACCCAAGTATATCGTGAGAAATCATCAACGCACACAAAAATATACTTTTTACCTTGATAGCTTTCTACCTGAATGGGACCCATGAGATCCATGTGAAGGAGCTCTATGATCTGTTTAGAAGCAATATGGTCCAGTGACTTGTGGGATGTCCTCGTTTGCTTACCTAGTTGGCACAGTTTGCAAATTGGTTGGTCTTTCATAGAAATCTTTGGAACGTCCCTGACTACACCTGCATTGGTCAATTTGACAAGGTGAGAGTATCCAATATGCCCTAAGCGTTGATGCCAGATTTCAGGTTCGCTCACATTTGAGAAAAGGCATTTTTCATTAAAATCGACAAGATAACAGTTATCCGATGAACGAGAACCTGTAAGCACACAAGAACCTTCACTGTCTTTCACATAACACTTATCACATGAGAAACTTACATTAAGACCTTTATCACAGAGTTGACTCACACTCAAAAGAATTGTCTTTAGTTCATCAACAAGTAACACATCAGTTAATTTAGGTATTCTACCCAAATTTAAATAGTATGTTCCAATAACCTTATTGCTCACACCGTCACCGAACGTGACTTCCCCATTTGAACCGGGCTGAATGTTCATCAAGTAAGAAGGTTCCCCAGTCATGTGTCTAGAGCATCCGCTGTCCAGATACTATTTACCTTTCAAAGAAGTCCTGAGAGACATAACAGAGGCAAAACAGTTGAAGGATTTCTTAGCAACCCACATTTGATGAGTTTTGGCATGGTTATTTGGGAGGGTTCTGGCATGAACCTCCACTGGAATGCCAGACTGATTCCAACCCTTAACATTACTTGTACAAAGATCATGCTGCATTTTATAACATTTGGGTCTTATGTGACCAATTACACAACACTAATGACAGATAGGAATAAAGTTATGGTGAGCTTTATCAACGGATTTTTGCATAGGAGAATGGACCTTCAAGGGAGATTTTGGAGATAGAGGTTTACTTACAATGCTTTTTACAAACCTGTCAAACATGTTTCTGGAATGTCTCCCATGCAGGTTCACACCTCCAATTCCAAGTTTGTCCCCAAATCCAAGGCCAGCATTTTGTGTACTCGAAGTCCCGGTTGAGGATTCTGGATGATCCTCCTTTCTCGTGTATCCTATTCCAGTAAGATCACCATGTTGTTTTCCCAAGGAGAGAAGTTCATTTAGATCCACTTTTCCCTTGTTCAGTTTTCGAATGACTTCTGCAGTTGGGTTCAACTCAGCACAATGTGCCTTCAGCTTGCTTTCCATGCTAGAATGTTCGTTCATCAGTCGATCAGCTTCATTTTTTAGTAGCACGATTTCCTGGTTCCGCTCCGCAAGAACTTTCTGAGTAGAGAATAATTCGGTTCTCGAGCATTCAATGGTCTGAGCCTTCTCCAGTTCGTTTTGTTTAGCAAGTTTGACACTGCTCTCAAGGATGCAGGTTCGAGCCTTTGCAGTGTCCAGTTCACACTCTTTAGTAGCAGTGGAAGTGAATGCTGGTTCGTTCAGCACTCTGTTTGCTCTTGAAAGTCTGAACACTTCATTTTGAAGCTCTGTAGAGCTTCAGATGCTTGAGCACACTTTTCCATAACAAGTAAGTGTACTGGATCTACACACACATTTTGATCTGCTTCATCCTGTAACACCCCGTATTTTATTAATAAAGGAAAATACTAGCTTTTAGTTTTAAGCTAGACTTTATTAATAAATAATCATGTTCATGTTCAAGTTCAGATTAATCAGTCAGTTATATTTTATGTTCGACTATTAGTCGATAAATTATTCGGTTTACTTATTTTAGTAACTGAATAAGTTTCCAAATTTAATTCCGATTCGTTTAATTAATTAATGAGTCCGGAATTAATTATTCAGTCAGCGATATCCCGTCATGTTAATCATGTTTTTATTTTCGATATATTAATATTGTCAAGTATTAATTTTCGGAATTAATTATTTCAGTCATTTCAGTCGAGATTACCGGAAATTATTTTCGACGTACCGTTTACGTTCGGAATAATTTTGGTAATTAAGCATTATGTTTAATTAAATAATTAAACATGAGTTAGTGATTAATTATCAAATAATCACATTTAAGTGATTAAGAAACCGAAGCTTTTGTTCAAGACTTCTAAATGTCGTATGGACTTTTCAATTTAATTCATAATGATTTTTCTTCTTTAAAAGCTTGCACGTGTCAATTTGGAGGGATTAGGAGAGTGATTAGTCATCCCAAACACTCCATCTAATTTTCCAAGTGTCATTAGTTCATGTAAACTCATCCTCACCTCATCACCTAAACCATCCATTCGGTGTAGATATAAATGAGGTACTTAGGAGGAATTTCCCTCACGTTTTCAGCCCATATTCCTCTCTAAGTTATACTAGTTCAGCAATAGATAGGTACAAATTACCTTAGTTCTTTCGTACCACACGCACGGCAAGTCACCGCAAGCTATCGCTCGCACGCACCGCACGGCAACGCGCACGCGGAGGGTCACGTCCGAACACGGGAATCCGAGGAGTGTTGTCACTCGAGCTTAGTCGGAGGTAAATTCTGTGTGGTTGTAGGCTGAGATTATCGTGTTTATTGAGTTCAGTTTTCAGTTCAGGCTTACATGCGTGTCTTATGTTGTTAAGGCCATGCGAGAGGCCGTCCTGTTTAAAGTTGAATTCTCCGAACAACCTTCGCCCGTTTAGTTATTTTATGTAATATCATGTTCAGATAATCTTAAGTGTTCAAAGGATTATTCATGTTTTATATGGTGTTCGGCCAAGGGAACGTGGTCGCGCATCTAGCGCACCACGGGCCGTACGCGAGTGTCAAGTATGTTAAGTTCATTTTTCCTCGAGCACTTTATGTGATTTTATTCAGTAAATCATTGATCATGTTCACTTATGTTTGATTTGCCGAGAGTAATTGAGATTCAGTCGTGAAACGGCTTAACGCCGTCGGCGGCGCACGATGCGTCCGCCGCGGCCAAGTTCAGTTCATTGAGCAAAACTTCATGTTTTCAGTTTAAACCAGTTCATATATTCATGTTATGCCATTTGAAATCAGAATGTTCATGAGTGGTTGCCGAACGGCCGGTTAAGACTTTATAACCGTTTTATTTATCAGTTTAAAAATTGAACGGTTTTCAAAAAAAACAAGTTTTTCACGGTCGCATCCGGAATCAGTTTTCGCAAAATAAATATTTTATTTATTTATTCAGAAATTTGCGAAAAGCGCGTACTCTGATTTCAGTAAAAAGTTGGGATGTTACACATCCTCAGATGCTTCAGTTTCTTTTAAACTTCCTTCAAATTTGGTCGGAGCATGAGAGGTGGTAAGACACATGAACCTTTTGACTGAGGTATGAACTGCCAAGTTGCTGGTGTGTAAAGAAGGTTCGTCTGTGCCTTCTTCATCTGAATCTTCCCAGGTTGCCTTCAGTGACTTATTCTTCTTCTTAAGATTAGCACACTAATACTGGAAGTGTCCAAAGCCTCGACACTCCCTGCATTGATCCTTCTCAACTCGTTGTGAATCAGATTTTGAGAGTGGCACACTACTTTTCTTGTCCTGCATCACATTCTTGCTGAAATTGTTTCCCTTTTTTCCAGCAAATTTGTTCTTGTACAGCCTTTGACTCATCTTCCTATAGTTTCGCGCGATTAGAGCAAGTGCTTCTTTCAGCTCACTATCGTTTGTCAACGTACCTTCATCGTCATCGCTTTCTTCTCTTTCCTCGACTACGGCAGCTTTGAGAGCTAAGCCCTTACTTTTGACTTTGTCATAATTGTTGTTGATTTCAAATGTCCTGAGCTCTCCAAGAAGTTCATCAACATCCAACGATGCCACTCTTTGGAAACTTTCAAGCGCTGTGATTTTCTCTGTAAACCTGGGGACGACGGTTCTCATAATTTTTTGTACTTGACGTTTCTCAGAGATTTCTTCTCCAAGCATCATACTTAGATTCACCAGATCACATAATCTGGCATAATACAAGTCAATTGTCTCTTTATCCCTCATTTTGATCTCATGAAATTCAAGAGTTACCCGTTGAAGTCTAGATGTTTTGACAGCTGTTGAACCTTCGAATTGACGCTGTAGAACCCGCCAGGCATCTTTCGCGGTCTTACAATGAACTATCATCTTTTGTCTTGTTTGATCTACTGCCATCATGATTGCATACAAGGCACGATAGTTGGCTTCTTCTTGAAGCTTCTCAGCATCTGTACAATTATCCTTAGGTTTAGGAACCGGGACTTTCGTTGATTCTTTTCCTTGATCAGGAGCTTGTTGCATGACTGGATGCTCCCAGCCGTTTTCAACACTTTTCCACACACCTTTTCCAAGCGATCTCAGAAAAATTGTCATCATAGACTTCCAGTACGAGCAGTTCGAACCGTCCAATTGCGGAGGCCTGGACATCGATCCACTTTCTTGATTCATGATTTGAATGTAACACACGTCCTAGGATCTTACATAATGAAGATAAAACCCGCTCTGGTGCCAATTGAAATTTGATACTTGAACACCAAGTATCCAGAGCTGCACGTAAATCGAATAGACAGACAGTAATGAAGATTCAAACAATTGCGGAAGCAGTTTTCACTAAAAATTGAACCTTCAGGAGAGCGTCCCACTCTCCCTTCAAATCTCTTTCATTAATGTGAACAACTCATACATCATCAAGGATTTACAGTATAGACTCCCTCTACACTCTACTTGAATGATGATTCACACAACTACTTATCCGACCACAACTCCCTTGTGGATTTTTCTAATTCAAATCAGAATGAACCTCCGAACATTATGTTACAAAAACTTATGTGTTCTACTTATCACTCAGGAAAAGAAAAAAATATGAATCTCAAAAATCCGAATAAAAAAAAGTCATCCTCAACTCTGGTCTCGTCCTCCTTTTATCTTCAGCATCCTTTGGAAAGTCTTTTCACCCAAGACAAATGCGGATAAGGAATGTAAATCTCTCGAACTTCTTCATCTTCGATTATGGAAGGTGAATCTCGCAATCCTCCTTCTTTTTAGATTATGAAAAGTGTATCTCCCCCTCAATCCCAAAGTCCTGCCAAAATAATAACATAAATAATCAGTCCTTTGGACTTAATTAAAATTAAGATTTATTCATACCAAAAATAAACTTCTCTTAAATACTCCGCATCTTTCTGGATTCTGTGATCGTCAGAAGGTTCATCGATTTACTGCCAATTTTTAGTACTTACACATTCGAAGTTCTAAACAACATCAACGAAGGTTACATGGTTCACACGCATACATAGATCATACCATCTAGAAAATATAAACAATTAATGACATAGATATTTAAATAAACTCACCTGGAAAATAAGGAAAGAAGATGCTCGAATAGCAAGGTAGGTTGAGAGCTCGGCTCGTCAAACACCTAAATTTAGTCAAGACAATTTCATCAATATATTATGTTGACCCTTAGAATAAATTTTGAATATTCATACTTAGTCAAACATTATCGACTAAGTTGTTCGTGAAGTTTTGTGGAAGTTGGAACACTTGGTTTTGAAAGTTAGACTCGGAAAGATTATTTAAAAACCTTAAAAATGGACTTTGCATGAAAAACAGGGTCAAACGAGTCCAAAGAAGTCAAATGGTTCGAGAAAAATAAAAAATGGTTCGAAACATCTCGACACGAGTGCGGGCTGGCTCGCTGGCACGGGTCGGGCACGGTCTGGTGAGGACAGGTGCGTTCTGGGCACGGAGGGGCACTGCTGGGCACGTGCGGGTGCGGATGGCATGGTACAGGGCTCACCGGGTGCGCTGGGGCGCAGGCAGTGGTGTTGGGGCGCCTAAGGGCCGACTGGTGGCCACTGGGGTGCATGGCGGGCACGCCGGTGCGGGACGGACGTGGGTTGCCCGTGCATACATGAGGAGACGCATGCAGGACGACATGGGTGACGCGCGGGCACAAGGGACTCACGCGGGATGGCATTCAGTCATGCAGGGCACGGGGACAGAGGTTCGAAAAAATAGACAAGGTTCAAATAGCAACCAAACCTTTTTGAGATTGGCTCGTGCGATTGAAATGAGATTTTGACAAGTTGAAGTGCACCCAACAATACACTAACACACCAGAGATGAGCTCTTAAAAACTATTTTAACCTAGTGAACCAATTTTTGCCATTTAAGGAACAAAATCTGAAGTTTCAAGTTCTATAGGCTACAGACTGAGTTTTGACTTGACATTTTAACAAATGGCATGCATGAAAAAAATAGAAAAACAACTCAAAAGGACGAGCCAATGATTTAATATCAATTTTCAAAGAATTATGGCAAAATAAACATTCCTTAGTTCATATGCCTCTAGTTCGAATTTTAAACTGAAAATTTTACACAAGGACCCTAATCAACACAGAAGATGACCCTCAAAATGTTATGCAATTTGGCTTAGTGAATAAGTTTGTACTTCTTCCTATTTTTTTTTTAATTGTCATTCTAGCTTTTTCAACTATTTGTCAAATAAATGTCGTTTTAGATATTTTGTACATATTTTTCCATTATTACCCTCATTTAGCCA